TTCAGTTGTTTGAGGAAAGAATTTACAAACATAACAGCAGACTGCAATATAAAATGGAAATCTTTTATTCACAAATTTTAATCCGTTACTATGGTGAAACATAGTTATGTACTTGCTTATGAAAATAATGCATTCTTGGTGTCCAACTACGGGATGTGGTAAAAAAAACAAGCAGCCTATCGGCTGAGATAGCTCCGCTGTTAGCAATGCACATTTCAATTAAAGAACTGAAGACATCATTAGAAAATGAACAATATGTATAGTATCAAAGCAATCGGACAGTTTTTAACAAGAAGTCGAAAATATCACTTTTTACCAAAAATGACAAAAATATTCACCAAAATTAGAGAATTGAAGATATCATCATGAAATGAACAAATCTGAGAGAGGTCTACCCAAGGTACATATACACCAAGTATCAAAGCATTCAGGCTTGTAGTTTTCAAGAAGAAGTCGAAAAAGTAAAACATTGACACGAACGCCGGACAATCACTCGTATGATAAGCTCCGCTCGACAAAGTCGACAGCGGAGCTAAAAAGGGCTGTCTGTCTTTGATACATATTTTAGGTTTTCCCAGCAATATGTTACTCAACATTTCATGGAGAGTTATTCAAGTACATGCTATGTTTTTTACTGATTTTTTATGACGAATTATTAGAGAACATGCTATATTTTGCAATTTGCTAGTATTTGTTATGGTTGTTTCAACAAATCTCATATTTTTTCAACAATATATATAATGCAATAATTTGTTGTACATGTCCATGTCCGTTCATTCAATAAAATTTTATGAATTGAGGATTCCATGCATGTACATCTCATTAGCGCAGAATCTTCCAGACAATTATTTTAGGAATGTAAATCATCTGAACCACTAACTTCGAACCAAGCATTATGTAAAACGTTTACATCGATTCCTGATTATTGATTGTGTATTATTTGTATTTCAAAAGACTAATACATTTTTCAAGTAAATAAAAAATAGCAATTAGTGACTTGAACATCAAGATACATAATGTAATTATGATGAAAAGATCGTCAACTGAGAGTGTGATTTCAGTTCCGTTTCGCTTCTTTCTGAATACAATGACAATAATCCTCATAATAATTTCGGCAGTTTAAGGATTAACACCTTTCTCAGCATGTGTTGAAATCCATCTGAACATTAAGTGGAAAAGCAACTTTTTTTTTTAATTCTTTAAAAAAAATGTTTTTGTGCCAGGTGACATTGAATATCTCTGTTGACTCTCCTGACTTTTTTGCAAGTGCAAATTGCAAGTGTTAGTTCTTGCCACAGAAGCCATTTCCATGTTTGGTACTACATGACAGGGCTGTGCGACCATCTTCATATCAAATTTCAATTTTAATGCTCTAGCGTGACATCAACCAGGCTCAGTCGAACACAAGCCCCTTGGACCTTAACCAAAGTTCCACCAAAGTCGAATTTATTAGTGAATGAATCTCGGCCAGTAGAATTGGCCTTTCCATTGAGTCTGTGGCACATTCACCCTGGGTAGGGGGTCGACCTTTTTGCTGTTCAGCCTAAAGTAGAATTTGAATTTGGGTCTACCTATCATGTCTGTCTGATGCGACAACCACTACTTTACCAGTGACTGGAAAAGCAACTTTAAATATCAGTGAATAACAACCCAGTAATTAAACAGACTTTATTGCCAGATACGGTAATTCATCAAAACAAGTTTTTCTCAAATCCCGAAACAGCTTTATAGCAATTGCTAGTGCACAATTATATTGAACGTAAAGAGTACGAAAATATTTAAATGGCAGATAACAAACAAACCAACACTTACAGAAACTTCCTCTCCTTCCAGCAGCTCTTCAACCACCACAGTCTCCCCAGCAGCGCCAAATAATTTATCTGTCATCATTTCTCGCACTGCTTGGCACGCTTCCTCTGTAGTATTAGCGACAATGACACCTTTACCGGCAGCTAGTCCACTGGCTTTCACAACCAATGCCTTATAAGGTGCACTGTTATACGGGGGCAAAAAAGTGAGAATTTATTAATAGGGAAACAAGCCATGCATGGCACAGTCCCCGTTAGTTATCAAATTTAAGATATATATTTTGTTTATAGTAATATAGCTGGAATATAACCATGTCAGGAATATGATTTTTTAACATTAAAATGATTGACATTTGTATCTGATTGTCGAACAAGTACTTGTCCATATTGAGAGATATTGCTCTGGAACAGCATTCAAAATCAGTCATTTTGAATACATGTATATATATAACATGATGTATAACGAATATATGAAAAATTTAAATATAATAAGTCAAAGCATTTAAGAGATATGGCTCTAGAAGCCCAATCATTAAAACAAAATGGCCGCCAGTCAGCCATTTTGAATCAAAAAAATAAAATGACGAGCATCCGAAACCCGTAATGTCTAATGTATGTACAAAGTTTGAACGAAATCCATCCATAAATGCTTGATATTTGATGATTTTTTAGCACAAAAATTACCACCATTCGGCCATTTTGAATAGGATAGTCAAACCAATATATCTGTTTATCTATGACATGATGTATAATGAATATTTAAAATTTGAAAATATTATCAGTCAAAACAAGTCGGAGATATGGGTCTAGAAGCCCATTCATTAAAACAAAATGGCCGCCAGACAGCCATTTTGAATCTTATCTGAAAAACAAAATTATTTGCATCAAGGTCCCATAATGTCTAATGTATATACCAAGTTTGAACAAAATCCATCTGTAAACAGTCGAGAAATGATTGATTTTTAGGATTTTTTAGCACAAAAATGGTCGCCATTCGGCCATCTTGAATCAGATCGTGAAACAAATTGATGTGCATATGTATAATATCATGTATGATGTATGTGTGAAGTTTGATTGTGATTGGTCCAGGCATTTCTAAGATACAGGTCCGGACGCACGCACGCACGCACAGACAGACACACACACGGACACACAAAGGTCAAAACATAAGTCCCCGTTTTCGGACTGCGTCCGAACAGGGACTAAAAATACAACAATAAGAATTGGACAGTATCAATATTCATATAGTGATATGGACACTAGGAGTTTTCATAAAAAATAACCGTAATAAGCTAGGGTCCCAAAATATGCATATATTGATGTAAATTCCAATTACTACAGGAACAAAATTTATTTTTTGATAACTATTGAGCACATGAAGAACATTTACAGCTCCATTTTACACCTGCTTACACAAGGTCCATAGCACCAAGAGCCAAATTATTTCCAAGACTTTTCTAGAACTGACCCCTCCCCCAAGACATTTTGAACCTTAATTCAGGCCAACATCATCACCAAAGCTCATCAAAGTTCTGAGGATATGGTAGTTCCCTGGAGAAAACGAGACTTTCTAAAATGAATTATAACTATGAAGAAATTTAAAGACTTTTCAAAGATTTTTTTTATTTTTCCTGTAATTTAAAGACAACTCAAAGACTTTCCAGACCTCATTTTCCCAACACTATAGACCCTGTGACAGCTTAATGACCAAGTAACAGTGTTTGCCAGTCTCGAAATGAAGATGTACTGACACCATGGTTACTGGTGCAATCTAATCTATCCATGGTTACTGATTACATGATTAAGGAAGGCAAATTCCATGGTTACCAACAAGCGTTCATTATATTCAGTTATGTATTGGAAATCTGTTAAGATATTGTTATTTATTGCCATAGACCAACAGGCTACCATATTTTGATAGTGCGCCCTCTATCTGTGGATATTAGGGTCAGGAGAATTTGAAGGTCAGTTGTCTTGTACGTTACTGTCCGATAAACCTGTGTTTAAGCATAAAACGAGTTCTAAAAAACACGCAGCATAGTAGATTGAATCGATAAGATAACATGGTGACCCCGACGTGATCAATCAGAAGACAGGTTATACCCAATAAGCAGAAATTGGCGTATGTTGACTTCAATTGAAAATAACAGTTTATTTGAACTTGGCATTCTCAATAACGAGACTATTATGGTGGATAAACTACTAGTTATAAACTGACAATCTGAAAATTTGATTGAGTATCTCAGTTTGTTCAAAAAACCAATAGAGCTTTATTTCGTGGTAGGAAACGTCAAAAATGAAGAACAACCCACTAATGTTTTGCTGGCAAACGGAAAAGAGGGATTGCAGAAATTCAACAGCAGAGACTGTTAATTTAAAGAATTAATCAAACCTACTGGAAACTTCAGAATAAGTAGACTCAAATTAACAACTCTGACACAGAAATCTGATGAATTTTTAGATTCATTTGTTGGTAAATGAAAACTATTGGCATATAATGTGAACTTGACCCCAAAGACAATCAAAGTAATCATTGCAGCAACACCAATACCCGAGTACCAGAAAAAGTTGTTAGCAAAACCACAAATATACACACTTGATGAAGCTGTATTTCTTGGCAGAAATTATGAAGCTACTAACGCGCATGTATCTGCATTGAAATGCATCGAGAAACCAAATCCATCCAAACCAGTTGAGGTGGTACAATCAGGGAAAACAACTACACGTAGACATGAATACAAACCAAGTGGGCCAAGACAAAACACAAATGGTGACAGCAGAAACTGTGGTCTGAATCATCCACCAAGAAAATGTCCAGCTTGTTGGTCAAACTTTAATAAGAACAATACTCACGTGTTTATATGTTGACAGGCATCTTCAGCAGAGGTAAATGACTTCCACTTAGCCGTTGGTATCATATGTCGATCCATAAATGCTTTGGCAAAGTTCTTACTGGCTTCAATCTCGGCTCCATTGGCGGAGGGACCAAAACAAGGAATGCTGGCTGCTGATAAAGCATCAGCAATGCCATCTGCCAATGGATTCTCTGGCCCTATCACCACCATAGATATGACATTCTCTTTACACCATTTTATTAGTTTATCATGGTCACCAGCAGATATGTCTAGAAAACAAAAAACTCATAAAGTGACAAACTCAGAAATTTTCATTCATTTTTACCAATTCACGACTATGCCAACCTCTCACCTAGATTCTGCATTGTGACTTCATACACTTTCCATCATATTATTTCATTTGTGACATTTGCTCTGGACTGGCCAATTTTTTTTTTTTAATTTCATTTTTACCTCTACAATTTTAACTTTGCACAAAATATGTAATTCCCCTTTGTTTGATAAAAAATATTTTGTAAGAGATGGCATACTTGTTTTTCAAATTGTGAGTAGAATGTTGGTGAAAAACCAAGCCATTTTGGAATGGCCATCTGCCATATTTATTTTTTTACTTTCAATACCTAAATAAATGTAAAATTTCATTTTAAGAAAATTACTCCATTTTAAATTGTGGGTACCCAACTCATTAGTTCTATATGTAAAATAGCCGTGCTTTTCAAGTTTTTACATTGTCATCTACGGAGAGTTTAATTGTACTGCAAGACCTGTATGTACTTCATAAATTCTATTGAGACAATCCTTTACAAAATCCTATTTGTACAGGAATCCACCCCATATCTTACCTGCATTGTCAATTTTCCCTTTGTTTTTAGTGCCAGCATTTCCTGGAGCCACCAAAACTTTTTTAACAAGATCAGACTGTGCGAGTTTCCAGGCTAAGGTATGTTCTCGTCCACCACTGCCAATCACTAAGACTGTATCACCCATAGCAACTCAAATCCTACCTGAAATTGTTCAGGGGGAAACAAAAAAATTACTTGTCATAATATACAACCATTATATATTGTTTCAAGGGTATATTCTCTAAGACAGACCGGAAAC